CCGCGCTGAGTCCCGGACGCCCCACTCCTGTCGCCTCTCTGTGCCCCCACGACCCAGGCCCCGCGGCCGCGACCCAAAGGATACAATTCGTGCCGTTGCATCTCCGGATGAGTACACACGAGCATAATTTGCCCTGTGCCATCAGCAACAAGAAGAAGCGGCGAAACTCCCGTCGCGTTAGTGCCCACGTCTTCAGAGACACCTGCTGAGCCTCCGCCAGCCTGGTTTGCGGCCCCACTCTGCCCATCGACGATTCCGCTGCCATCAGACTCATCTTCCTGGCCCCCTGCAATACTCGCGTCCTCTGCAGGGACCTGCATTGCTGTCCCGCCTCTTCGCCTTGTAACCCTCCTGGAACTCAACCACCACCACCACCTCTCAACTCAGGCTCCCGCCAGGGCAGGAGGTTCGCGCGCCAAGCTCCGCCACGGCCCCACCCATAATGCTCTGCGTGAGGAGCACAGCGCCTGCGCAAACCGGCCCTCAGGCCGACCCTTTCCCGCCAACCTGTTCTTGCAGTTTAATGGCTCTTCAGTTGCCAGGCAGCGGCCTGCCCTCAGGGATCCCAGAACTCCAGCGACCTCCCCCCTACACGCGCACTCACACACACACACACACACACACACACACACACACACACACACACACAGAGCAGTGCGCATGCGCCCGTGGAACCCTAGGCGTCGGATCCCTTCCAAGTGGCCCATCCCGAGTGCCACACAGTGACCTAGGCTTCTGAAGACCTAGCTCCTCAAAGCGGGAGTCGGTGAGGCTCTGGAGAACCCTGGTGGGAAAGGGCCCTGCCTGAGTCCCCGGGACGCCACCGGTGCCCCCTATGCCCACAGATGGGGTCTGCGCCCTGTGGGCACTGTGCGGGTGCAGCGCCCATCGCCGACTTCTGGTGGCGCAGGAGGTGGTTCCGGGCCCGGCCCGTCCGGCCGTCCTGTCCCCTACTCACGCGAGCACGTGCACGTGCACACACACACACCCTCGAGGTCCAGGCCTGGGGACACAGAGGGGATGGGGATCCCAGCCCGTTCCCGTCCTCGGGATTTGACCGGGACGCTTGCTCCTTCCGCCACATTCGCCTGTGCCATCGCACGGTGCCCGCCTGTGGATCCGGGGCTTAGTGTGCACAAGGGTGAGAATGGGTATTCGGACCAGCCTGGCCAGCTCATAGCCGTGCATGGGTAAAGTCATGAATCAAAGTTTGTGGCTACCTGACAGCGTTGCAGGTTTTTTTACCTGCTTTCAAAGCAACTAGAGAGATTCCTGTTGGCCTATGAGGAGCCTCTGATCATTGGCAGCCATGCAGGCTTCGACCACACTGCTGGTAGCTTCTTAGGGGTGGTGGAGGATTGAGATGATAAATGGTTGTAGGGTACTTAGCTGGGGCAGAGGACTCCACTGATTTTGCCAACAATAACTGCATACGTGCCTCCATCTGTTACCCTTGTAGGGCAAACCTGAGGTTCAAATCACTGTAGAATGAATAGAAAGGGGATTGAGAAGCTCTTGTTATATAGCTCAGTAGAAGTGTGGAGGGAAGTATCTAAAGGACTATTTTATGTAAAAATGTTTCTTTGTATATGAATTGTCTAGATTGTATTCACCCAATAGTTACAAATCAAAACACAAATATGGAAAGAAAATTTAAATGAACTTATTTCACATTTGCATAGCTAAAGACTCTCCTAACCCTAATAACAATGGAATGATAATAACCAAAAACCTTTACTGAGTGATTATCTTGTTCCACCTACTGTTGTAAGCATTAAACAGGAATTCCTTGTTTATCCACAGATGTGGCACATATTCATTGTGGTTACCTTTAATGACAAATTAATAGTTAATTTTTACTTTCCAAACTTGCTCATATTTTTTAAGTTAACACACATTGCATTTACATACAGAGGAAACTTAAGAAAGTTATTCACCATTTGTTGAGAAAAACTTCTAATTAGTTCCCAAGTGAACTACTTTGCAGAAGTTATAATCATTCTGTACAATTCACTAGAGGCTGACTTTTTCCTGTGAATGTTCTAATTGGTACGTTTTCTTGATGCAATGAGGACTGTGGTACTGATGAACTCCCCAAAGTCATTTAAGGCTAGACACCACAAGACGAGTGCCACACAACTCTCTGTTTCTGTGGCTTTGAGCTGCCTCTGAAAAGCAGCCCTCTCCACATTCTACATACACTGCTCATCCTTCCTTGAAAGTTGTCCCTCCAGAGGGCAACTGGTGGCTCGTTTCTGCAACATTTCATCAATATTACATGAGGTGTTTTTCTTCTGTTCCTTCTAAGTACTTACATATCAACACATATGTGCTTGAACACAGAAAATACAGTCTACCCTAGGGAGGTGCTCATCAAATAATCCTCTGCGTACTGCCAGTCCTGGTCTGAAAACTTCCAGTCACAGACTTTATGTTACTCAGTCAGAGAAGACTTGTTTGGAATATAATAAAGATGTATTTAAATCACATTAAGTACAGTATTTAATAATTAAGACTTAATATAATGAGGGCCAAAGATTTAGCTCAGTGGTTCCAGTGCTTGCTTTACAAGTGCAATGGTTGGAGTTCAATCCCGGGTACCAAAAAAAAAAAAAAAAGAAGACAATATAATCATTAAGGCAACAGGGTCAAGGTGTACAAATTCAAGGAAACTGGAGGGGGGGGAAGAAGGAAGGGAAAAGAAAACATGAGAAAAGAAGAAAAAAATGGAAATAAAGTTTTTGTAAATGGGGTTGAAGGGAGGGAAGAAGATTGGGATTCAAGATGTACCATGTACAGGTAAAAATTCCGTATGATGAATGTGATCATTATGTATGTCTCAATTGTACAAATAAAATTAATAGTTTAAAAAATTTGAGGAAACTGATAGTTAAACAAACATCTCTTTGCTGGACACTCAGGATCTTGAATTTCCAAGTTTCAAACCAGTACAATCGTGACTTAGCATCCATGGGGAATTGGCTCCAGGCTGGGGAACAGGTACCCAAATCCCCATATACTTAGGTTCTTTATATAAAATGTCATCATATTGGGATACCACCTCTGCAAAGCCTCCAGTATAGTTTTCATGATCTCTACAGTACACATAATTTTAATGCAGTGTAAATGCTATGGCAATAGTTGTTCTATTGTTTAGGGAATAATGACAAGAAAAAAGTCTGTATGTGTTTAATACAGACACAGTTTTCTTCTAATAATTTCCATCTGAGGTTGGTTGCATTTGCAGATTTGGAGGCCCTAATGCGCATTCTTGTGGTGTCTCGAACCTAACTAGCCCTAACCAACCTCACTGTGTCCCTCGCTTCCCATGTCCTCCTTCTCTGTTCTGTTTTGGTGACAGACATTCCCACAGCCGGCCAGTCTCTCATTTCACCTTTCTTGCAGTTGATTTCTTTAAATATGTTCTATCCACCCTCTAGGCCACCTGAGGCCAGCTTGGCATCATCTCTCACCTGTGTGGTGACAACAGTGTCTCCTGTGTTCTGTAAAGTTTACTGGGCCCTCTTCCCAGAGGTGTGGGTTCTCCGTTTGGGGTGGGGGACAAGGCTGGCATGGGTCCACCTGATGTGGGGGGAGGCCCATCTACAGGGCTTGTAGTCCTGGTCCTGCTACCCACTTGGATGTCATCGAGGGCTGCTAGCCTCTGGAGGGCTCTCATACTGGACCCAGGACCCCGGGTGGGGCCTGGTGGGAAGCCTCGGCAGCCCTTTGTCCTGGGTTTCCTTCAAACCCCTTCCCATCTTCCCACCGTTTGGGGACCACAAGAGGCCACCTTGAGGAGCTGGGACCAACACGTTTTGGGAGCAGGGTAGGCTCCTCTGCTTCTGGTGGCTCGTCTGGCCCTCCAGGTGCTGCCTGCTGGACCTGGGGAGGCCACCTGTCATGGGGGCCCTTCTGATGAGCCATTCCCCTCCTCACTCTGTAGCCCAATTTATGCCCTGCCCCCTGCCCCCTGCCTCCTAACCTAACTGAAGCTTCTGTACTGCCTCCCTGAATTGTGTGTGTGTGTGTGTGTGTGTGTGTGTGTGTGTGTGTGTGTGAAATGGGGAGGGGCATTCTAAGCAAGCAGACTGGACAAATGGGACCAATCAGCAGTCTTCAACTCATAAAGATTTTTATTATCAAAATTGCATAAAAGTGAATACACAAAGTAAAAAATAATATTAAAAATCTGCATACAGGGCCGAGAATGTAGCTCAGCAGCACAAGCACCTGCCTAGTAAGCTCAAGGCCATGGATTCTATACCCATACCCCCCCCGCAAAAAAAAAACAAAAAATCTGCATGCAGCTTCAGTAATTGTCAACCTTTTACTGGTTCATTTGGAAAGTAGGGGAGGAGTCAGGGATGAGAGCAGTGGGAGCTAATGTTTCTTGGGGTGACAAGGGGAGAGGACCCGCTGTAGTTGCTCAAATGAAGGGCATCGTGTAGCCCTGAGGCACGAGCCATGTGGAGCAGGGCTAGGGGCAGGAAGGCCCAAGCACTATTATTTTGATCACTGTCTTTTTCTTGTTCTAACTCTAATGTACATTTTTCTTCCCCAAACACACAGGTTTAATTTAGCCACCCATCTCAGCTTCCTTTTGGTTGCCCTGAGATCTCCATCCAAGTTCCCCGTGAGGACCTCATGAGAGTATTCCCCTATAACCAGTTTCCCAGGCACAGTGCTGCTCCTGACCTGAAGCTCAGGGTGCTGTGGAAGGAGCCAGCACTGCCTTAAGCTGTGCCTAGTCCTCATCACTATGGCTTTAGCCCCCCACCCCCTGCTTGCTCGGCCTTGGCCAAGTGTCACTTTCCAGGCATTGTCCTATGTCATCCCCACCACAGTCCCAGGAGGTATGAACACCATGACACAGCTCTGGTAGCACCAGGGGTTTTCTGCTGTCTCTGCTGCATTGGATTGTGAGTCCCTAGGGAGAGCTGACAGTCACCATCTTCTCTCAGCAATGCTCACAGCCTGGTCACTGACCAAAGAGCAGGCAGGGCTGGGCTCTGGAAAACGAACAGCAAAAGTCCCTGCCCTTTAAGATCTACCAACTAGATCTTAACTAGATCTACCAATGAGGGGTGTCCCTCTCTAGTGGCTCTGAGGACAGGGTCATCTCCTAGATGTAATGACAGAGGTGGTACAAGGGGTAAATTAAGGAGCAGGCAAAGTTTGAAGCAGCTGTTTGTGGTCGTTTTTGTCCCATGCTTTTTGGGTTCAATCCATAGAAAATGTGTTGTTAATTGAATGCAAGGTGCAGAAGAAGGTGGCTTCACTGTTGGCTTATTTGCTTACTGAAGGACCCATCAAGCACCCCAGCTCCCTCCTCTCCTTGACACTTTCAGTGACATGCAGATGTTTCCAGATTTGGTAGTAGAGATAGTTACCCCCTGCTGTGAATGACCAGCAAGTACCTACCATGTTCAGA